ACAAGCAGTGCGTCGGTGCGCACCCAGGATCCGAACCGGCAAACCCCGGGCTGCCGCAGCGGAGTGCTCACACCCAACCGCTTGCGCTACCAGGCCCTCATTGTAGTTTTGATTTGCATTTCCCTGATAGTTGATGATGTTGAACATCTTTTCATGTGCCTGTTGGCCATCTATATATCTTCTTTGGAGAAATGTCTGTTTAGGTCTTTTGCCCATTTTTAATTGGGTTGTTTGTTTTTTTGTTGTTGCCCAATTTGTTCTTTATTTATTTATTTATTTATTTATTTGTGAGGAAGATTGGCCCTGAGCTAACATCTGTTGCCAGTCTTCCTCTTTTTGCTTGAGGAAGACTGTCCCTGAGCTAACATCGGTGTCCATCTTCCTCTATTTTGTATGTGGGATACCGCCACAGCATGACTTGATGAGCGGTGTGTAGGTCCACACCTGGGATCCGGACCCTGGGCCGCCGAAGCGGAGTGTGCGAACTTAACCACTATGCCACTGGGCTGGCCCCCCAATTTGTTTTTTAAATGAGGTAACAGACTCAGCTAGTAAGTGGTTGAGCCACCATTTGATTGCAGATACGTTTAACTTCAAAACTTATGTGCTCTTAAGCGCTACATTATACTCCTTCCTCTTTAAGCTCATGCACTTCTTCCTAGTCTTGGACACAGTCTTAGCAAGCTTGGATATCATTTCCTAGCTCAGAGCAGATAATGAGCTGCAAATTAGATGGGTGGAGGTTGAGGAATAAGTGCCACAAGAAGTAACAGATGGCAGGACAACTCTAAAAAGCAGAGCCTTCTAAGGCAAAGTGCTCTTTACTCCTTAATAACTCCTAAATTCCAGAACAAAAGATAGTCAGTGATGTTTGTAATTACTGAATCATCGATTTTTAGACATAGTGGCGTAAGAAGAGGCAAAATCATATTTCATATTCTCTGTTTAAGAAAGCAGGTGGTATATGATACATTTTGGAAAGAGTGTCTTATCTTGGGTTTCCCCCAGAGCAGAGCCTGAGACAAGGATTTAGGTGCAGGTATTTTATTTTGGAGGTGATCCTGAGAAGCAGGAGTGAGGGAGTGGGAAGAGTAGAACAGGCTAGGAGGAAAGCCATTAGAAGATGCGTTCTTGAAGTTGCCTTGAGGGCAGTGGGGACTGAAATCTACCAGAAGCTCCCAGGAAGCCTGCAGAATACCATCCAGAATTGTCCACTTGAATCTGCTGGCTCCTGTCTCACCCTGGTTGAGGATTGCCTCTGGGCACGGTGCCTGCATGGCTGACTAGGCTCTTAGTTTAGGGTTGGAGAAGGCCTTGGTGAGAACATGGGTGGTGTGTGCTTGAGGTGGCACACTCTCATTGCAAAGTGAGTTTGAGCTCGCATGGAATTGTCCGACACAGCTGTGGTTGAAAGCATAGTGAGCCAAGCAGAGGAGACACAGGGCATCTGAGGATCTGCTAAAAACATTTCCCTCCAAAATGCTCCCAGATAAAGTTTTGGTACTTAGTAAATTTCAGCTCTCTAGGAAAGTAGGCATTATATAATACCCCACATTCCAAAGCTTTGCTAAACACATGAGGCGTTGCCATATCAGTTTTCTGTTTCAGGTGAAGCTGCGCCTCAGTGATTGTTCTCTCTCACTCTAGGAATTGGCGGGGGGATCATCCATCAGCATGAATTGATCCATGGGAGCTCCTTCTGTGCTGCAGAACTTGGCCACCTTGTCGTGTCTCTGGATGGGCCTGATTGTTCCTGTGGAAGCCATGGGTGTATTGAAGCATATGCCTCTGGAATGGCCTTGCAGAGGGAAGCAAAAAAACTGCATGATGGTTGGTTTCTTTCTTCTGAGGAATTAGCCAAATGGTAGACAAGTACTTCAAAGTAGATATTCCAAAGAGAGCTGAACCCTGAAGCCAGAACTTTTAACCTTTTCAATGCCTGGAGGAAAGCAGAAGCTTTTCCTGATACTGAAGCTCCAAAGTCCTCTCAGTCCTTACCCCTGTTAACACTTCTTCTCCCAGGTGGAGATGGGTCTTGAGCTCCAGGATAGCAGGGAAGATTTCTTTCATTTTTGTTTTCTCAGTCTCTAGCACAGGGTGGGTACTTAATACACATCTTAATGAAGAATTAAATGGATGAACATATTACGGTTTTTGAACTCTGACAGTCTATTTGAATTAAAGCTGGTTCTGGACATGTTATAAAAGTCAGGATGGTTTCTAGTCTAATGCAAGAGGGAGTCATTTAATATCATTTTAATAAAGTGTGTCAAGTGCAATGAGAATGGTGGCCAAGGATGTAGATGCAACCCCTGCGTTCCCTCCCCGCCCTCTCTATACAGGGAAGGGAGCGTTAGGGTGCCATCCTGGGGGTTGAGAGGCAGAGGACAAATAGAATTAGCGAGGCAAGTTTGGATGAGCAAGAGAGCACTTCCAAGCATGGGAAACAGCAGTGCTGGGCATAAAGGGCAAGGCAGGGATAGTGTAACAAGAGGTAGGCTAGGACCAACAGCTGGTGGGGAAGCCACTGAAAAATTTTAGGGGAAGGACATGGTCAGATCTGAATTTTAGATTCTTCACTAAACTCTAACTTTTTGTTTTCTGGGGGTAAAATGATAGTTGAATGGAGGATGGCTTTAAGTGGGACAGTTCTAGAATGACTTCCAGTTTTCTGGTTGGACTTGGGATTGGGAATATAAGAGGAGGAACAGGTTTTGGCAGAAGATGATGGATGGGTGCTTGTGAGATATCCAGGTGAAAATGTGTAGAAGGCAGCTGGCTATAGGGGTCTGATGCTCAGGAGAGATGACTGGGCTAGAGGTAAGGACTGGGAGTCTTTGAGGTGGTAGTTAAACCTAGGAATGGGGCTCGGAGTGAGGCAAGAGTCAAGGATGGAATCCTGTGAAACATCAGCATTTGAGGGGCAGGGAGGAAAACCAGGAAAGGGTGAAGTTAGAGAAGCCAGGAAAGGAGAGCATTTCAGAGAGGGAGCAGTTGGTGTCAAGTGCTGCTTACGAATAAGAGAAAATCAGAAAAGTTCGCTGACGTTGGTGATGAGGACATCATTTGAAGCCCTGAAAGCTGTTTTTCAACCTTGTTTTTATCATCACCCCCCTAAGGAGCCTGTGCAGACACTTTTTCCTAATCACCCCACCCCATAAAACTAATACCACAGATATATTGTTTATCTGTTTGTGTTTATGTACCATCTCTATAAAAAGAGTAAGATTTCTTTTGTCCCCAAGAACCAATTTTTGCCCCTTGGGGGCAAATATATGTCTTAAGAAAGAAGTTCAGTCAAAGAGTGGGAGCAGAAGCCTAACTATACTGAGTAGGAGGCAAGAAGCTTTGAGGACATGGAATTTGTGAGCACATACCGATGGAAAGGTGCCAGTGGAATGGAAGCGAAGGTTGACAGTGCAGGAGAGAGAGAGTAGTCGAGTTCCTACAGTGAGGCCCCTGAAGAGGGGGAAGAGATGAGCTGCAAAGTCCGGGTAGAGGGCCCAGGAAAGGGAAAGAAGGAGCGAAGGTGTGTAAATACAGATGTGTTCCTGGGTGGGGGCAGAAAAGTAAGGGAATCCCCACATGGTGTGTCCGCCTTCTGCAAGGTCAGAAGTATGGAGATCTCTTGGTAGTGGGGGTCGGGGGAGAAGGTTTGAGGAGGTGAAGGCTTACAAGAGCAATGAGCGGCAATGGGAGAGTGAGCTGGCCAGGGCAGCTGTGAGGGCCCCTGGAAGATAGGAGACCACCAGTCAGTCTCTAGGGAACAGTCTGCACAGTTGAGATTTCCTCCCAGCAGGACCCAAGTATAATAGCAGATGAGGAGGCAGATGATCCTGGTGGTGACTGGCAGAGTGAGGGGCAGTAAGACAAGAATGACTGATAACAGGAATACCTACTGTTTGTTTGGTTTGTTTATTTATTTATTTATTTTTTTGTGAGGAAGATCAGCTCTGAGCTAACATCCGTGCTAATCGTCCTCTTTTTGCTGAGGAAGACCGGCTCTGAGCTAACATCTATTGCCAATCCTCCTCCTTTTTTTTCCTCCCCAAAGCCCCAGTAGATAGTTGTATGTCATAGCTGCACTTCCTTCTAGTTGCCGTATGTGGGACGCGGCCTCAGCATGGCCGGAGAAGCAGTGCGTCGGTGCGCGCCCAGGATCTGAACTCCGGCCGCCAGTAGCACAGCGCGTGCACTTAACCGCTAAGCCACAGGGCCGGCCCCCTACTGTTTATTTAGCATTTACTCTGGCCAGCACTTAAGTACTTTATGTCCATTATCTCATTTAATCCCTGAAAGAATCCTGCTAGGGTGGGTATTATTACCCTGCTTTTATAGAGAAGAGAAAGGTGTAGAGGTGACGTGACATGAACAGGGTCATGCAGCCAGTAGTTGCAGAACTCGCACTGCACCCTGGTCTGTGTCTGTTCCTTAGTCACTGTGCCTTCCTGCCTTAGACTGCGGGGTGCCAGCAAGTAATGCACCAGTGCATCTGGGATGGATAAGGAAGGAGGTGAAAGCAGAGGAGTCTGACAATTTGGGGAAAAAAACACTTGAAGGACTACATTTCATATGAGTTCTTCAAGTGAAAAGTGAAGAAGCTAGAGGGGTGGGGGAGGAGGCTCTGGTCAGAGTTGAGGATTTTCCAGTTAGGGAAGTTCTGGATGATGTATAACCAGACAGCAAGAGGGCAGCAAAGGCCTCTGGGGCAATGTATGTCGACTTTTGTGGATGAAAAGAAACTTGGCCAATGTGAAAAGAAAACACTGTCTCCGTGGAGGCTTGCTGCCCGCAGGCACAGTTGTAAGCTCGGCTTCCCCACAGGGCCTCTAGAGCTCAGTAATGACAGCTTCTCCTTCTCACCTCTGCTCACACAGAAGACCTGCTCTTGGTGGAAGGGATGTCAGTGCCAAAAGACGAAGCTGTCGGTGCGCTCCATCTCATCCAAGCTGCAAAACTTGGCAATGTGAAGGCCCAGAGCATCTTGAGAACAGGTGAGCGTGCGGTTCTGGGCAGCTCTGCTGCAGGGTCCAGCCCTCCGACCACCCGGGGCTCCCACAGACGATGCCAGCTTCCCCCAGGACCAGCTCTCTGTCTGTTCAGAGGTATTCTTCCTGCTTACTGGGAGAGAACAAGGGAAGTGCATTCAAGGCGTTTAGCAGCATTGCCTTTTTAAACAGGTGTTTTGTTTTGTTTTACAACTAGGAAGAGACTACTTGTTCATTTATAGGAAATTTAGAGAAATACAGGAGAGTAAGAAAAAGTATCACTTCAAGTTTTACTGTTCAGAGATATCAATTGTTAACATTTCCTTCCAGTCTATTCTTTTACATAGTTCAGATCATACAGTGTAATATGTACAGTTTTATACGCAGCTTTTTCATTTCAAAGTATCATATGATCATTTGCTCCTATTAAGAATAAATCATAAACAGCTTTAAAAGTAGCACTTCCCATTACGTAGTGTGAATGTACTAACTACTCCTGGCTGCTAGCCCTTTCCACCTTCCTCTTTGGTGTTTTTGTTTTGGCTTTCTCCCAAAAACTTATTTTCATTTTTGTTTTCCTGTAGCTGGAACAGCTTTGGGTCTTGGGGTTGTGAACATCCTCCACACTATGAATCCTTCCCTTGTGATCCTCTCTGGAGTCCTAGCCAGTCACTACATCCACATCGTCAAAGACGTCATCCGCCAGCAAGCCTTGTCCTCGGTTCAGGATGTAGACGTGGTGGTTTCGGATTTGGTGGATCCGGCCCTGCTTGGTGCTGCCAGCATGGTCCTGGACTACACAACTCGCAGGATCTACTAGGCCTCCTGGGAGCAGACATGACCAAGACTCAAGAGCTCCTTAGTGGAATCAGGCTGTCTCTTAGATGAGCATTTCTTAAAAAGCAAATTTGGTATTTGGAAGGCGACTTTGGCAGAGAGGTTTTTGCTTTTAGTCTTCTCTTCCAAAGTCACCTTTCCCCATCTGCATTTTTGTAGATGATGCTCTTCCTGGGGTCATTTCAGCTCAAACCCTCTATGTACCAGTCACAATTTTCTGTGCAAAAAGGAGCTAAAATAGTAGACGAGGAAGCCTCAGGACTCTGCTTACTAGATGTACCACTGAGACCCGCAGGCCTTGCTTGGGATGTGACCTTGATACTGTAGTTTGGATTATTCATCTTTCCTCTCACCCTAAACTCAGATCACAGAGAGGAATCCAGTCAGGGAACAGAAGGAAATCTCACCATGAAAGGCTTATGTACGCTTTTTTTAAAAACAGCTTTACTGAGGTATTTTTTAGGTGCACAATTTGATAAGCTTTGACATATGTATATACCTGTGAAACCACAATCAAGACATTGGACACATCTGTCACCCCCAATATTACTTGTTGAAAGATGTTCTTTGTTATTACTCTCGCAGAACCTTAAGCAACTTTAGACCTGGGATCTGAATTGTAGTGGCCTTAGTGACCTTGTCCTTACCTTCTTAAGGACAGCTGAGAAGCCACTAGGACTTATAGCCTCTGAAAGGAGATTATCTGTTCTAACAGGATCTTTGCTACTGACAAGCAGACACCTCTCCCTTCAGTAGCTTTTCATACTACATTGAATGTGACCCTGGAGTGTCTACTAAGGTGGTGTTTGTGTGTGTCATACCCAGAGCTCACATCTGTGAATCTGGATTCTGGCTGAATAAGACTCCGTGCTTTCACTGGTGTCAAGATACAAAGGCGAAGGTTCTTGCTACCAATTGCAACTTGCAAGAAATACTAATAGCCACCATTTATTAAGTGCCTACTGTATGCCAGACTCTGAACTAGGTGCTTCATATTACATTTTTCAAATTCTCACAACCTGTGAGGTAGGTATTTTAATTCCCATTTCATAGAACCCCAAACTAAGTCTTAGTGTGTTTAAGTGAAGCACCTAAAGCTGTGTGGCTAGTGAGTCTTAGAGGCAGGGTGTGATCCCAGATCCCTCTGCTTTTGCTGCTAAGCCACACATCCTCTCGTATCAAAAACTTTCAAAATGCGTATCTATTCTAATTTACTTCAGGCTACCAAAAGCTTTAATGAGAATATCTCATTAGCAAATGACTCAGTTATCCTTGACACTATCTCTCAGCGGTGAATTTAATCAAATATTCCTCTGTGCTGTGGAAATGTTGCCAGTACAGTATTGGTCTAGTGACAGGTTTTTAATGGGTACTTTCAGATGACCTAAAAGAGCATATGTATATGGTTTTCAGATTGTTTATTATTTTAGGAAAACCTGAAGGTTTCTACAATATATTGTTTCAGTGTTAGCATATTTAAAATAAAGTGAAGGAATCAATACTGCATGTGAACTGCTTCCTTGCTGGTGGGTTAATGTGAAAAGACAGGTTGGCTGATTGCTAGAACTCTGCCAGCCCTGGAATAATCTTCAGGTCCTGGTTACTGTTGAAACATTCCACGGTGATTCCTGGGAAGGAAGCTAGTCTGCTTGGCTGTCAGTGTCTGGGGTGAGATGGTGTATGGTGAGGGTAGTATCAGTTGTGCTGTGGGGAAATCTATAACCACTCTATACCCCAGACCATTGCATTGCCACCAAGTTTCATACCAAATATTTGGAAAGATGGTACTGAATCTAAAACCAAATCTTAGTTTTTATTAAATTCATGGAAAGGCTAATATAGTCCAACATAATTATTACATGTAGTTAAATAATCACATCTTAATTTATTTTAATGTAAATATTTTTATGTTATTGTTCTGAGCCAAATTCTAAAGAAAAAATAAATATATTTCCTTGTGGAAATCCTAGCACTTTTGTATTTTGTTTTGTTCTTAATTAACTCACTAGCTAAAAGCCTTTCCCTTTACAGAAGAGATTTACATTGTTGCAGTGCTTATTTTTTGAAGGTCATATAACTTCAAGGCATCTAATATTTGATTTCTTAACCAAAAAATTTTGATAATAGAAAGCATTCTTATATAACATTCAAAAAAATATTGAAAAATGATCACCACAGTAAGTCTAATTAACATCCATCACCCTACATAGTTATAGAATATTTTTCTTGTGATGAGAACTTTTTAGATCTACTCTTGTAGCAACTTTCAAATACAGTATTGTATTTTTTTGTGTGTGTGTGAGGAAGATTCACCCTGAGCTAAAATCTGTGTCAATCTTCCTTTATTTTGTATGTGGGTTGCCACCATAGCATGGCCGCTGACGAGTGGTGTAGGTCGGCACCCAGGAACCGAATCTGGGCTGCCAAAGTGGAGTGCACCGAACTTAACCACTAGGCCATGGGGCCAGCCCCTCAAATACAGTATTTTTAACTGTAGTCGCCATGCTGTACATTACATCTCCATGACTTCTTATTTATTTTATAACTGGAAGTTTGTACCTTTTGACTCCCTTTACCCATTTCAAGTCCCCCACCGCCAGCCCCTGTCTCTGGCAACTGCCAATCTGTTCTCTGTATATATGAGCTTGTTGTTTTCCTGTTTTTTAGATTCTACATACAGTCGTCCCTCAGTATCTGTGGGGTATTGGTTTCAGGAACCCCTGCAGATACCAAAATCCATGAATGCTCAAGTCCCATATATAATGGTATAGTACAATAAATACAATCAGCCCTCCATATCCACGGGTGCGAAACCTGCAGATATGGAGGGCCAACTGTGTAAGTGAGCTCATACAGTATTTGTCTTTCTCTATTTCACTTAGCATAATGCCCTCAAGATCTATCCATGTTGTTGCAAATGGCAAGATTTCATTCTTTTTTTATAGCTAATACTCCATTGTATACGTATACAGTAGTCCCCCCCCTTATCCGTGGGGGATATGTTCCAACCCCCAAAACCGCGGATAGTACCGAACCCTACATATACTATGTTTGTTCCTATACATACATATCTATGATAAAGTTTAATTTATAAACTGGGCACAGTAAGAGATTAACAACAACTAATCATAAAATAGAACAATTATAATATACTGAAAAGTTATGTGAATGTGGTTTCTCTCTCCCAAAATAGCTTATTGTACTGTACTCACCCTTCTTCTTGTGATGATGTGAGATGATACAGTGCCTACGTGATGAGATGAAGTGCAGTGAATGATGTAGGCATTGTGATGTAGTGTTAAGGCTACTATTGACCTGAGGATCATTGAGCTATGACAATTGTTGATGGCTGGGGATCCGACAAAGAAATGATTCGTGTCCCAGGCAGGACAGAGCAGGAAGGTGCAAGATTTCATCACACTACTCAGAACAGTGTGCAATTTAAAACTGATGAATTATTTCTGGAATTTTCCATTTAATATTTTCAGACCATGGTTTACTGCAGGTATCTGAAACTGCAGAAAGTGAAACCGTGGATAAGGAGGGACTGCTGTACCACATTTTCTTTATCCATCTGTTGATAGACACTTAGGTGTTTCTATATCTTGACTATTGGAAATAATGCTGCATTGAACATGGCGGGGCATATATCTTTTTGAGTTAGTGTTTTCATTTTCTCTGGATACATTCCAGAAGTGGAATTACTGGGTCATATGGTAGTTTTATTTTTAATTTTTTGAGGAACCTCCATACTGTCTTCCATAGTGGCTGCACCAATTTACATTCCCACCAACAGTACACAAGGGTTCTCTTTTCTCCACATCCTTGCTAACTTATTTCTTGTTTTTTTGATAATAGCCATTATAACAGGTGTAGGTGTTATCCTCATTGTGGTTTTGATTTGCATTTCCCTGATGGTTAGGGAGCTTGACCAACTTTTCATGTACCTGTTGGCCATGTGTGTGTCTTCTTTGGAAAAATGTCTATTTAGATCCTCTGCCCATTTTTTTTTTAATTAAAAAAATTTTTTTGGTGAGAAAGATTAGCCCTGAGCTAACATCCGTTGCCAATCCTCCTCTTTTTGCTGAGGAAGATTGGCCCTGGGCCAACATCTGTGCCCATCTTCCTCTACTTTATATGTGGGACGCCTGCCACAGCATGGCTTGATAAGCAGTGCGTAGGTCCACGCCTGGGTTCCGAAACTGTGAACCCCGGGCCGCCGAAGTGGAGCGCGTGAACTTAACCACTACACCTCTGGGCTGGCCCCAGGATCCTCTGCCCATTTTTTAATTGGATTTTTTTTTGGTTTTTTTTTTCCTATTGAGTTGTATGAGTTCTTTACATATCTTGGATATTAACCCCTTATCAGATATATGATTTGCAAATGGTTTCTCCCATTCAGTAATTTGCCTTTTCATTTTGTTGGTTTCCCTTGCTGTGCAAAAGCTTTTAAGTCTGATGTAGTGCCACTTGTTTATTTTTGCTT